TGTGCCACGATATATCATCGTTTTTAGTGGCATATCTTTTTTTGTGCCACTATATTATTATATTATTGTTATTTTCATTTTAGCGCTCATAATTCTCCTAAAATTAAAAATTTCCCGCCACACCAAAGTTTGTTTTTTTCATTTCATCTTTTAAATTTCCCTCTTTGTTTCTAATTTGTTGACATAATCCCCCACCTCCAAAATGAGAACGTAAAAAACCCTTTCTCCAAAGTCGATATGGTTGCTTCGATGAACACCAACACTTTGCTAGGGTTTGACGGTACTGGTATAATTTTTCGAGATCAAAGATGGCCTCGGTTTCTACATGCACCGATGACAACAACTGGGTCCTTATTAGCTTGAAATATGTCATCTTCCACTCTTTCCTTGATTTCTTTGGAACTCATCAGATCGAAGCTCAGGTGAGCCAATCTTTGCTTCATATTTCCCATTTGCTTGTTCAATTCGAATTCTGGTATAAGCTTCAATGGACTTATAGTTTTTTTGTTGTCAGGGGAGATTACGCCACATCTGCCTTCATCGACTTTATTATATGCGTCTTCCTTCTCATTATTCTCCTGCGATTTCATCAACATCAGACACCGATTTCTCATTCTTCTTCATGTTCTAATTTCTTCTTTTCTTTGCAAGTTTTTAATGATCTGTTATTATATAGTTGTGTTAATGTTGAAGAATTATGGTTATAGTTTATCATAGGGTTAAGTCTCTTGTTGTTGAGATCATTGAAACAAAGATGAAGAGAAGGTGTTTGATGAAATGCTCAAATGAAAAAAAATCATATTACAGTGGGATTAATCAAGTTCTCTAAAGATTAAATATTCTTGAACTGCACTTCCAGTGTTTGTAACTAATGAGGGAGAGATATGGTTTTTGTATTTGATGATCTTAGGTGATTCTGTATGGGTGAAGTTCGTGTGAAGTGGGTAGTGATGAGTGCATTCCTTGATGCACATATGCCATAACTGAAGAATTCATGAGGAAACTGTTTGATGAATACAACTTAGATTATATCATTCGTGGAGATGATCCCTGCATTCTCCCTGATGGAATTGACACATATGCCCTTGCAAGGAATGCATGTCGATATAAGCAAATAAAATGAAAAGATGGAGTCTCAAGCACATACATTGTTGGTATGCATATATATCATATATAACTTAATAGATCAAGTTCAAAAGAAGCATCATCTTATCTTACTTTTTGTAATATTTGATTGTTTGTGAATGTAAGAAATATAGGGATGATGCTTCTTTGTGTAAGGGAGAGGAAAAGTGGAGTTAGCCCTAGTCATGCTTCCTTGCAAAGACAGTTTAGGCCATGGCTAGAAGAAATTTGATGATGGTGGTTCAGGAAGCGGGACCCGTGTCTCTCATTTTCTTCCTACATCTCGCAGGATTGTTCAGTTTTCCAATGAAAAGGTAATAATAATAATAATAATAATAATAATAATAATAATAATAATAATAATAATAATAAGTATTTTTTTTCAGTTGTAATAATATTTGAATTGTTGATTTCAACTTCATACATCAATACAACTAACTATTGTATGATGGGCATTATAATCTTTATATTTTTTTTTTATCCCTTTTCACTAATTAGGTGAAGAAAAAGGTGTATATGGAGCACCATGTTGGTGATGTTCTTCGATTTGGCCAGTAAGTTCTTTCATTTTTATGTTATTATTTTATCATTTTGCGTCATTTGTTTGAATTTAACACGTATTCTTGCTTTTGTTTCTTTACGTACAGTTCAACTGGGTTGTAGATATTTCAAGGACCAACTTACTTAATGCCTCTGGTAAGGCCCTTCAACTATCTCATTAACTTGAAGCCTATTTTCATTTCATATGATGCCATAGAAGTTCATTAACTATTTCTTGCTTGTTGTAAAAGGAAAAAGACTTGCAAGTTTTTAAAATCTTAAAATTCGACAAAAGAAGTGTAACATGGAAGCTTCACTTCTACAAGCAAAAAGAGAAGCACCACTTGCGGATGTTATTTCATGGGGCATGGATGAAGATGTGGTTGAAGAAACTAAGTTTTTTTTTTTTTAAAAATAAAAAACAGATGTATAGATTCTTTTATGTCTAGTTTAGTTACATCAGATGTGGGAAAGTAGTAGATCATAGAGTGTTGATATTTCCATGTAATAAATATTTTTATTTTGTTTTATGATATAAATCTTATTTGATTTTTTGATATTTTTCTTTTTATATATTTGTACAAAATTGTCTATGGATTTTGCTATGGAACCAAAACCACGGATTTAGCTAGGGAGTGATCACAATGGATGTAGCTAGGGAATCATCACAATGGATTTAGCTAGGGATTCATCACCATGGATTTTGCTAGGGATTTATCACCACGGATTTTGCTATGGATCGACTACAACGGAATTTTTGATGGAATAACTACCACATAATTCTCAACGGAATCCTACTACGGAATACACGACGGAATACCATCTACAACAGATTTCATTCCATTGTCACATTTGCGACGAAATTATTGTTTCCGTTGCAACACCTTCGCTACGGGGTTTTTTGAGACAGAACTGTTCCGTTGCAAATTCCATCGCTATTCGTCTTTTGCAACGAAATTTCATCTTTTTGCAACGGATTCCTTCCCTAGCAAAATCGCGTTTTTCTTGTAGTGAAAGGTTAGCTAGAAGCTAACAAAAAAGAAAAAGAGATTACAAGATCGGGTTTTTTATCCACGAACTCCAACTAATTGTGTTCTTACAATTCATATTACTAAACCAATCATAAGAAAAAGAAACTATGAAATCAAATAACATGTTCTTATTAGGAGGATTATCTTCAAACAACAGCTTGTTCTGAAAGGTCCACAAAACCCATATTACCGTGCAAAAAACCGAAAGGTCCACAAAATCCATGTTAGTATGTTATGTTTAATCCACATATTCCAACACTTTGCAGAATAATGCTCTAGCGAATCCGTTCACAGTCCGTAGGACCAACACCATTCGAAGGTGGGCGGCCCACCCCGCCTAGAACAATTATGTTTGACTGGGCTTACACACATTCACTCACTTACGTTGTCTCCCCTCAGCTCTCATCTATAGAGCTGGGTAGAAGGAATGTACCGAACGAAGTTGCTAAAGGCTGACATCCATCCTTCCATTTGATCAAAGGCATTAGAGCATAAGTAATTCACTCGAAAGGAGAAGAGTGTCAAGCAGCCCCAACACTAGCTCCGTAGAGCAGGAGAATGCTGAGGTCCGTCTACGTGTGATTCCTTATTTTTTTTCCTAAAACGTGAGGTGAAACACAAGACAAAAGTTATGCCTAGTACCATTTTAGTGCTACCAATGTCGGAATAAAGGCTAAACATGCAAGGTTTTTCATTATAGAACACATATAATATAAAAACTTGGCTTTTAAATATTCATCTTTTTGACTTACAGTGTCTAAATCAAATATGAGGCATGGATCATCCGGTCCTTCAAATACTCAACGATTTTATTTTTCGATCAACATTAGGATCCGAGTATAATAACAAATATCAATATATTTTGTTAGATCCAATCATCAAGGTTCCTTAGGACATTTCTCCTAAAGGAGGGTCAAATTTCATATTGACTATTCCAACTTGTGGTACACAGTTCATATTATACCTAAAACCGTTCAAATGAAATAGAGAACTCTAGATAGACCTTAAGAGCATCCACAATGAGGGTTTAATAAGAGTTGAATAGATGATGACTAGGATTGAATAAAAGTTTAATGGAGTGTGTGTGATGATATAAAATAGAGTTGACTAGGAGAATTGTATAATCATTGAGTGGTTCAATAGATTTAATCTTTTTTTTTTCTATTAGATTTCAAATCAAATATAAAAATCCATTAAACTTTACAGGGTTTAATGGAACGTGGATGTTAAAGAATATAATTGAATAAAAAATGAAATACTGATGTGGCAGTGATATGATAATCCGTTGAACTTTCTAGAGTTCAATAGACTGTGGATGTCCTAAGTCTTCTAAAGTTTTCTTATTTGACAAGACTAGTCCCTCAATTTCATCTTTTGCAAAAATATATGTTATTATTATTATTATTATTTTTATACATTTCAATTTTCTTACACTTTTTTTGAACAACAAACTATCTATCCTTATATTTAGTTTGACTTCAAATAATAAATGTTTTTACAAGAGGTCCAACATAAATAAATAAGGTTAAGTTAAAGTTACAAACATTTAACTCAAATTCTGGAACAAGGGCGACATATAACTTAAACTTTTAACACTTCAACCTTAACTTTTTAAATAATAATATCAAATAAATTAGAATTATTTAATTACAACAGAAAAACAAATGTAAGAACATCACCACCACCATGACCCACTTTCCTCTCATTTGGCTCCCTAAAATTGTCCATATCCCAGCAATCATTTTGGTTCAAAAATTGTTTGTGGAATTGTATATTTGTCAACAAGTTAGTTCAAAAAATTGTAATACCCAGCAATCATTTTGGTTCAAAAATTGTTTGTGGAATTGTATATTTGTCAACAAGTTAGTTCAAAAAATTGTAATACAAGAAGGAAATAGTTTTTGTTTTATGTTCAATGACTTACTAGATATAAAAAATCTTTAACTTTACTAAAATCTCCTTTAACTTTATTTTAACACAGCTAAACTGTCACAAAAATTAACAGAAAAAAATGGAGATGCGGGGTATCGAACCCCGTACCTCTCGCATGCAAAGCGAGCGCTCTACCATGTGAGCTACATCCCCTTTAAATTAAAATTGATGACAAGCTTCTAAAGAATCTGTATTTTGAAAACAAAACAAACCACTTTGCCACTTTTGGGAGTAGTCCATGTAAACTTTTCATTTTGACAATTAAATATTCATTGTTTTGATCGCCCAAAACTAAAATTCAAGGCTGTCCTCTTGTAAGCGTCGCCTTTCTTACATACCCACTCTTTATAAATTATCCCCCACCTCTTTCCCTTCTCAGTACCTTCAACGAATAATCAAATCCATTAATTCTTCATTTTTCCAGTTTCCATGGCTTCCCTTCTTTCAACTTCAGCTACTCCTTCATCTGCCCTTCTTCTTCCCACAACTCCCAGAATCCAATGCACCCAATTCGCTAGCGTCTCCATGATCTCTGTAACTTAATTAATTTATGGGTGCTATATATTCTATTCAATTTTAATTTCAATCTTTATTAATTCCATCTGTTCTGAAACTTGTTTGTTGCAGGGTGGACAAAGATTTGTGATCTTGAAGGCAGAGAAAAGATCATCACCACTTTCTCACTGCTTTAAGACCACCATTTCATGCTCCATTGTAAGATTATTTATTCTAATCTTTTTTCGCATATGTTAATCGAAAGGAATAATCATCGTCATCTTCTACCCACAGGCTCAACCAGAGACACTGAAAATAGTTCAGGCCACCATTGCTAATCAGTTGTCGATTGATGAGAGTACAGTCGCTCCTGCAACTAAATTCGCCGATCTTGGTGCTGATTCTCTCGACACTTGTAAGTTTTGTTTTGATTTGATCTGAATCGAACCAATTAAACTCAAACCACTAGTCATCGATCTGTGTTATAATTAATTCAATGGATATATCATTGAACAGGTTGAGATAATGATGGCATTGGAAGAAAAGTTTGGAGTGTCAATTGGCGAAAGTGGAGCTGAGAACATTTCGACTGTTCAAGATGCTGCTGATCTGATCGAGAAAGTGAAGACAGATGCTTAAGTTTTTAAACTTACGCATGCAACACTTATATGATCAGATATATAACCAAATTTGCTTGGTTTCTTTTCCTTCTGATTATTTTTGCGGGTTTGTAATTTGTTTAAGATGATGTCGTACTAATAAATTTCCATTTTGCTGAAAAGATCAGCATGAAACTTTTTTGCATGCATGCGTATTATACAAACATGGAAGCTTCAAACATGTTATTCAGAAATCACAATAATTTTATTAGTCATTAATACACCACATTTTACAAACCAAGTTCAGCATATATAACCTTAAATCATATATATGTACACAAAAGAAAAAAGAAGAAGAAAAAAACAAAGGAAACCATCCGCCACATCGATCATATCATGGGCTGCGATATAAGTATAATTATACCTAATATATGTACAGATTTTTATATAGGGGATTTGGGAAAAGATTTTTTTTTTTTTTAAATATATATACATATAGACATTTCTCATGGAAGCCGAAACTCATCGATTTCGTATATTTCAACGATCCAATGCACTCAAAACAATCCTGCAATTATACCCATGAAGAAACAAAAAGATTAACCTTTCTGCACAAACAAGATCATTTCCTTTATTAAATATAACTCAACCGATTCAAGCTTTGTGAATCCAATATCATGATTAATGTGAGAAATCTTTGTCGTAGAAGTTAACGTTAGAAAAAGAGAGATATAATCATATACCAATCATAACCCGTAGGATGTTTTGTCCTCGAAGAATGCGTGCCGCCGGCAGTTGACTTTGCTCGGGTCAATTTCTTGATATTCCCGCCAGGACTTGTTGCTGATGAACAAAGCAAGAAAACGAAACTCAGAGATACATGAATCGATGTGTGTGTGTGTGTAATGTTTGCAGGGCTTACGTGAGAATGGTGAGCCGGGGGTGACGGGGGTGGAGGGAGAAGAGGTGGAGGATCCTGAATCAGAAGAGGCGGAGAGGCTGTTGCTTCGGAGGATGGTGATGCTGCGGGAAACCGGAGAGATATCGTCGGCGTTTGAAGGATCGATATTGCTGCCGGAACGGACGCGGAGAGACTTGTATTTGCGAAGTTTTCCGATGCCGGAGTCAGGGGTGGGGCCGGCGAGCGTTTCGTCCCAGAGATTATGGAGAAAACCCATGATTGATTTGAAGAATTATTGTTATAATTAATTAGGTTACGTACTAATCAACTACAAAGTACAAACTAATATTGTATTGTTCTTCGTATCTTTCCTGTAACAACCCGAATTAGGTGCGTTTCCTTTAACTATGGAAGGGAAGACGGCGGAGAGCGGTGGCGCCACCCGAATACGACTGTTACAAAAAGTGGAAGCGTTTATTATTATTATTTAATATCTAAACAGAAATTTGATTTATTTCCGGACGAATGGGAGTAATGGAGTATTTATAGATGTAATGGGAAGAGATGAAGGTGGTTGAGAGGAGGAGGGTGAAGGTTGCGATTCGATGGCTCAAATGAGGCAGTTGTTTGCTTATTTTGTTTGGTACAAAATAATCGTATAGGCAACAACCATAAATGATACATGAAGCAAAGTTACGATTGAGAATTTGAGATAAGATCCCTAACGAGTTAACGACTAACGAGACAAATGTATGTCATTATTAAGCCCAAATAGAATCCAATCCAATGTTACTAATGGGCTGCCAAGTATCTAGAGTTGATGACTTGTTCATTGAACAAAATATCTCTTTATTTTCCCAAACCATTTTTAAACCGATCCAATCCGATTTAGCAAGCGATTTGGTTAAAAACGGTTCGATTTGAAATTGATTCGGCGGTTTTACAATTAAAACTGGGTTGAAAACTTATAAAAAACCGATTTTCTTAAAAATATGTTTTCACTCATTATTTCCTCAAGATTTTTTTTTATAAAAAGTTTTAAGGGGTTTTCATGTATGCTTTTCACCCATTGTACTATGTATGTTAGGAAAATATTTTTCTAAAAATTAAAAGTTAAAAAATACCGTTTTGAACCGCTAACGTTCTCGAATACCCGAAAAATTCCTTTAGCCGATGGCATACCGATGAGTTTTACTTATTGACCTGTTTTTTTTATCAACAATGTAAATTTCGTTAAAAATTCCGTTACTGAAAGCAAGTTCGGAAAATATGAAAGTTTGGTAAAAAAGTAGGTTTTTTCAAACCGGTTACAAACCGATCATAACCAGTTCCTAGAGGTTTGGATATTTTTGTTTGCAAACCAGTTTTAACTCAATTTGGTTTTGAATTTTGTTGACCAAAATTGATTTTGTTTGTGCACCTTTAATTTATAGGTGTACATAAATGATACAAAATTGATGCGGATCGGTTTCAAACAAGTATTGTTTAAAACCAATGTATCATAATCACACTGGATTCAAACCAGTTTTATCATTTTTCTCGTAGGTTTGTCAAAACCTCAAAAGAACATTCAAAAAATCCAGTAGAGTAACATGTAACCCATAAATTAGATACCCGACAACTTGTTAGGATCATAAAACTTACCATTTAGTCTGTCTTAAAGGAGTAAGACTAACATGTTGGTAACCCCACAATGTCATTGCTAGACTTGAACACATAGATAAGGTGTTTTCCAAAACCTCCAATATATCATCGCCAAACAAACTAACTACATAGTGTGGGCTTTTTCTCGTAGGTCAACATATAACCGAGAATCTCCAACCAGTCTGGCCCTAAGGAATTGTTATGAGAATCACACCAAATATATAGTGGAAAAGGTGCCATGCCTTTTAAAAGAATTTCATTTCCCTATAAATTAACAACTATACGACGTTAGATATTAGAACTAACTACATTTAATAAAAAACAGACATTACTACAAACAAGTAAGAAATTTTTAATTACATATTAGGATGCTATGTCATATAAAATTTTCGTTAAGCCGTACATCTTGTAATTGTAAAAATGTTACATTGAAAATAAGAAAAAGACTATTTAAGCTTTCAAAACCAATATAGGTTATTGTATTCTAACTATCTATTATGTGGATGTAGAATTGATTGTGGACCAATCATTTTAGTTATTTTAAGAAACTAATTTACTTATATTTTTAAATTAAAAAAATATAAAAATACAATTTAATTAAAAGAAGGGTAATATTGTACATTTGTATTGCCTTCAAATTAGGAAACACAATTTAAAAAAAAGGAAATTTTAGGATTTTAAGGGATATTTGATTATCTTAATTTTGGATTATGATTTTTTTTAATTAATTCATTTTTAATTCTAACGTAATTTTTAATCATATCCGGTTTTATTCTGTTAGAATGACATTCGGTTATAATAATATTTTATAAAAATACAAGCCATAAATTAATAAAGAGTCTTACTTCTTGAAGAATAACTTTATATACTATTTTATGATAATGTAACACTCACTAATAAAAAATAAACACAATTTGTAGATTATTCTACCAGAGTATACTATTACATATAGTTTTATCATTCTATTGTAGATTATTCTGCCAGAATATAACGATGAATAATGTTTTATCTGGTGACCATTCTTGTAAGGACTTCATCTTCTACCAGGATGAAGAATCCACTTGATCTTTAACCCGAATCCAAAATGTATTCGATCTTCTTTTCGAATCCAAAGTGCACTTGAGAGAATTCAGTTTTGCAATCCAAAAATCCAAATATCAGAGTCTAATCCCAAAGATTATATTTTTATTATAACCAAAACACTAATGTAACTTTGTTCAAGACATTGAAAAAAAAACAATTCAGTCAAACAAATATAAGAGTCTAATCCCAAAGATCACATAATACGGAAAACACGGGTGTATGCGTTGCGATCGTCTCGAGCTCTTTCATTTGAAAACTAGAGTACCTGAAACAAAACTGAAAACCGTAAGCACAAAACTTAGTGAGTTTCCCAAATACCACATACCCAACACATAATCACATATAGTGGGCCCCGCCCTATCATCGGGCCCCGCCTGGCATCAGACATAGTCCGACATCGGGCCCCGCCCGACATTAGACATAATCCGGCATCGGGCCCCGCTCGACATCGAGCCCCGCCCGACATCCAGCTTCGCCCGACATCGAGTTGAACTCGACATACACATATCATAAATCAGATAAACAACATACGCATACAATAATCACATAGATACGAAGCATGTAAATAGTCATCGGGCACCGCCCAGCATCGGACCTTAGTCCGGAAACATACGAGTACAAACACATGCAAGAGTCACGAAGACAAAAGCATAAAACTATTCCTCGGGCCCTGTCCGACATCGGACCGTAATCTGGAAAGCATATAAATATTCATTGGGCACCGCCCGACATCCGACCGTAATCCGGAAAGCATATAAATATTCATTGGTCACCGCCCGACATCATACCATAATCCGGAAGGCATATAAACATTCATCGGGCACCTCGCGATATCAGACCGAAACCCAGAAAGCATATAAATATTCATCGGGTACCGCCCGACATCGGATCGTAATCCGGAAACATATAATCATAAACACGGGCTGACATTAGTGCCTTCGACCCGTTCTAACAGGAGGAAATTCACCTCGAATGCTAAAGCTCACTGCAAGAAATCCTTAGTTGCTGCCTTGACGACTTCCCTAACTAATAATTACCAAAATAATATTCAATTAGCAACTGAATTCCAAACCATGATCCATGAACCAAACTTGGGGTAAATGACCATTGTACCCCTGGCCCATTGTGACATCCCCATTTTCACGGCCAGAAAAGACCGATTTTGTTTATGCTTTATAAAAATCAGAGTACTTTTAATAAAAATGTTGCGGAATTTGTTCCTAGTAAAACATGATAAATACGTTATCAAAGCATTTCCGAATAAATGTATTTTTATTCATTTTAAAACATTTGGGATGTCATTGTCAATACAGAAACATAAGCATAAACAGAACTTACATTCAATTACACTAGTGATCTACATCTCTTTTAAATCTCTCAGTGTAAAGTGGCTTCGTATCGATACCTGTGAT